AACTTTTTCATCTAAATTTTCTTACACAATCACACACGAAGACATATGTCCAAGAGGTCTATGATCAAACCGATCTAGACTTAGACATATCAAAAATCTGTGTTTATGATCTTACATCATGAGACCGTGATAAAAGTGAAACCCGTATCTCTAACCTTTTAAGGAATTGATGGGGAACTATGTTCCAGATTTTCACAAAACATTTGTTTCCGTACCTAAATTCAAAACTCCAAATCATATTCATTTCTTCTGAATGGTCTTGATCAAACATTCAAAACCCACGATGTTTGTTACCCATCAAGATCCAGCACACATTTTTTTTTCATGAATATGATTTCCGTGTGAGTTTTACTCGAAATCCAAAGTCATTTAAATTTTTTCCAAAGGAAACTTGTCACTAACTACACTGGTCAAACAAGTAATTTCTGTTACAATTTCTCACCTTATGTTTAGGTTGATATGAAACGAAATTCAGATACCTACCCATGAAGCTTAATAAAAGAAGCCCTTCGATATTTCCTTATAAATATTCGATTGTATATCACAGGAACATACACAAGCAATTGATCATCTCTCTTGATGATTAATGAAGTAATCTTAGGCTGGGATTTATTCTGCTTTTGTGTCGAAAAATAGTTCGACAGCACTGACTTCCAGATTTTTCTTTTTATTGCTTCTCACCAAATTCTTTGGAACACTGCACACACACAAAATCCTTGAGGTTCTGAGTAACACCAACTCAGACTAATGATTTCAAACATCTAGCAAATGACTTTAAATTATAAACCCAAAAGTAAATGAGCCTTACTTCCATACGAAGGGTACCGACGGTTACAATTCTATTGGGGCAAACAAACCATTCTGTTTGAGGGGACGTTTTGTATTCTGTCCGGGTTTCGAGGAGAAGTGACAATTACTTTTTCACGCATGGCGACGTTATCGTCATCATGGTGCGACTTTCAAAGTGCCACGTCAGATTTCATTAAATGCATATCCCGTTTTTATTACAAACTCCAAGGTTAAATATAAAAAGGGATTCAAGGGTTCTTAATCCATTTACGCTTTCAGAAGAAAAATTCCTAAATACTCTCTGTTCTTCACAAAACTTTCAAACCCTAACAATGGCAAATTCTACTCGTGACGTTGCTAATCCTTTTCAAACCACTAATGATGTGTCTTCATTACCAATTATGAAGATTCAAGGAACTAATTATCAAGTGGAGGCCAATGTTTCTCAATATCTTGAAGAACTAAAGATGTTAGTTGTTGCTTTGAAGAGTTATGTTCTGTCAAAGGCCATGTTCAGTTTGTTTTCAGTTCTGATTTCAAGGCTTTCTCAAGTTGGATCAATAGCTACATACACCAATTGTCACACCCCAAAACCAATGGCGGTAACGTTCCGGGGCGGATTATGTCATGTATAGTATCTCAACCAATGTACATAGTAAGCATAGTAAACACAAAACATTACATTACATATGAATAATTGCATTTGTTTTGAAAGTAAAGTAATACATGTTTTATCTATACAATAGTTTGAACAAAAGTAAAGACGTGACTTCTAAAACGCTCCATCTTCTCCAAAAGATCGCGGGTACCTGTCTAAAGTGGACGTGAGAATACAAGCAGTTTGAAAATCAGCATGAAGCTGGTGAGTTTATAAGAGGTTTGTTTTCTGAAAATGAACAAGTTTCCTTTGGTTTCTGAAAAAGTGGTTATCCAAGAAAATCCCATATTTTCTTATAAGTAAAGTTTAGTTATCCGTTTGTTACATGATCTGGTTATGTATAGTTGTTATCCCAGGAAAAACCCTTATTTTCCTTAAAAGTTTGTAATTGGTTATCGATTCTGAATGTAATGTACAAGTTATCGATTCTGAATGTAATGTACAAGTATCTACCATACTTAAAGTGTTTGTGTGAAGTTTCCTGAAAACCTAGTTACCCTTGAAATGTATGATAGTTTTAACATGTATATAAAACTATTGTGTGAAAAGTAAACTAATTCATAAGGTTATTAGTTTACTAGATCCATTATTACCAACAAGTAAATCTATGTTATCAAAATTGCGAGTTCCATAACCATACGATAGACTATAAATGGCAATAAGTAGTCCATTATCATTTTATGACTTTCGTCACCCTTGAACCTTTCGGTTTGACTGTAGCTAGCAGCCAGGTGCGGGGTTGTCAATCCCGTATAGATCTATACACTCAATCCATGCTCTCCCTCAAGAGATTCTGGTTACGGGGGCGGTCCTCCACTTGCGTATCTTTGTGTAGTATTTCCGAGGACGTGTCTCCAATTAATAAGATTAACAAATTTACAAGTAATAATGTGGAAAATCTTGTTTGTGATTCTGGTTACAATGGGGGTCCTCCACTCGCGTATCTCTAGGGAGTCTTACCGAGGATATGTTCTAATGTTCTAGGTTAATGATTTTATCATAAATGAAGTGGAAAATCATTGGTGAAATATACAACATAACACTATATAATTAGGTTTGCAATTAGTTTGAAAACTAACTCTACAAGTCAAACAGTTAGTTAAAATGGTTTCCAGTGTTAAAGTATATGAAGTATGAAACATTTCAAATGAAATAGTAAGTTTGAGTACAAGATTTATTTGTACTTTTGCTTGTATCCCCCCCTTAAAACATTGAAAACATGGAAAAACGTAGGGGTATGAACTCACCAGACGAGAAATGTGTCGGTTGGATGCTAAGTGTCAGTTTGGGGATTGAGAACACGCGAGGTTCTTATATAATATGAAAATATACATAATTGTATCTAATTAGACTTTGAACCACAAATTAGATAAGACAGTACACTCCGAGAAGCGAAAACACTTTATTTCAAGTGTTAGGAGTGACCCGGGTAGCCTCTAAGGGTGTGTATGGCTTGAATATAGAGTTTTCTCTTCAAAAGTAAACTCCTAAGGGATTTTTCATCCCTAATACCATGTCCCCATGCATTTACAGCCTTAAACTCATGGTGGGGGTGTTCTTGGGTGCTTAATGGTCTTCTAACTCTTGTGGGGTGATGCTAGGCTTAGACTTAAGGCATTGGAATGGAATTTGAACAACATAAGGACCATTTAAGGATTTTACAGTAGCAAACTAGGAGTTTATAGCCATAAACTCTTATGCACCCAATATTAATGTGTTTTGGTGGTCCTAGGTCAATTACAAGAGTTTCTAGTCCAAAGTACAAGCCATGGAAGGAAGTTAGGGCACCATTTGACCACCTTATAGGAGTTTATGGCCCAGGAACCATTCCTTGGGGGTTTTACGGCCATGAACTCCTAAGGGGATGGTTTCTTGCATGTTTAAGGTCACTAACACATTGGTGGATGATTCTAGACTTTATTCCAAGGCTTAGGAGGTGCTTAAGGGGCATTTTATCACTTTTAAAGGGGTTTACGGCCTGTGAAATGGTGTTTAAGGTCCATGCATGTGCTTGGGCCGTAAACTCTTGTTTACCCCTCAAATGATAAGGTTTAGATGTTCCAAGTCCATTATTGTAAGCCCCTAAGTCATATCTAAGTTCTAAAAGTGGTTTGGAAGGGTTTTGAGGCTCAAAAAACCCATCTATGTGTGTTTGCGGCCCAAGGGTGTTCCAGGGCTATAAACACATGTTTTTGGTCCTATTTCATGATTTTTCCACGAATTTGAAAGCTAAACATGTTAATCTATGAGCTAGGATGGATAACTTACCAATTTAGAGCTTGAATTGGGTGGTTTTTGGATCAAACTTAAGTTTTTAGAGAGAGAGTAGAGAGAGAGAGAGAGAGTGAAAAAGCTTCAAATGAAGCCCACTCAACTTTATATATGGTTCGGGTTTGAGGCTCGGTGGAATTCTACCCGATACTGACGTTAAACGGGGCTTTTGGTCGTACCCGATTAAGTTGTCGTAACCCGACGTGGTCGAAACTATAAATTTTCCAAATAAATATTTGGGATGTTTTCACGCATTTCTAATGTGTTCTGACACTTATGATGTCAAAATAAGAAGTCCAAATTTTATTAATTTAAAACAAAGTTAATGGAAAATTGGAACGTAACGACTTTACTTAAACAACCGGGTTACAAAGACGGAAAGTTTTCGGATTGTGACACCAAAGCTTTTGATGCCATTACTTTCAATTTGGTGAATGATAAAAAGGTCAGAATCTTAAAGAAACTATTTTGTCAAATTCTTGAAATTGCAAATTCATCACCATATGTTGATTTCTCATTCCCTCAAATTGTACATATGTTCAATGAGATGGGTCATCAACCTCAACTATCTAAGATAAGTGATTTTAATAAATCTAGTCTTCCTAGCATCTGGAACTTTTTATTTGGTATTTTTCTGAGATGTCTGACTGGTAGAACTGTTGGTCTCCATAAAGGAAGAATGGAGGTATATGTCATGGTTGTTGGGCTATACTATGATCTTCAAGTGGATTATTCTACACAGTTATGGAAGGAATTTCAAAAGAGTGTAGAAAACATGAATGATCTTCATCGTCTTTCTTGTGTGCGGTACTGGAGCTTGATTTTACAATATTTCCACAACAAGGAGGGGATTTTGGTGCCCAATGAACAAGAAAAAGCTGTTTTTGAAAGATATCATTTTCCGAAGGATGTAACAGATAATGCTGAGGAGTTTCCATTTGTGTCTCATATTCCTGATGCTATGTTAAAACGAGTTGATCATACAAATTCAGTGTTGGTGGCTTATTTGAAAAACATTGATACTAATGTTGAGACTGGGATCTTGTTGCCAAGGGAGGGGAAGAAGTCACGATGATCGAAGAATAATGATCTTGGTTCTTCTGAAAAGCCAATCAAGGAGTCTAAGTCTAAGAAGTTTCAAAAGAAGCAACAATTTATTGTTGAAGAGACAGTGGTACAAGAAGTCTTTGTTGATGAGACTAAATCGATTGAGCCTGTTGTGGATGACACTCAAGAGAAAGTGGTCATTCCTTCGAAGATCGGTGTTTTTCGAAGAATCAAAATGAAGTCTAAGCATATGCGTAAGTCTCCAACACCTAATGTGGTACGAAAGCCTCAGGTTACTCGTCAAGGTGTCTTAATTCCTGAAATACCAGAACCTATTTCTCCATCATCAAATAAACGAAGTGATGAAGATATAGCTAAACATCTTTCACAGAAGAAGAAGAAGAAGAAGAAGAAGAAGAAGAAGAAGACAAGAAAGCTTTTGATCTTCACTGAATCTACAGAAGATGAGGATGAACAAATTCCAGAAACCCCAGAAGCAAATCTAAACAAATATAGTTCAACTCCTAAGAAGACAATAGTTATACCACCCGAAGTCTCGGTTGCCAAATCAGATTCTAAGGAGGTACGAACTTCAGACATCAATGTAAATGTTTCTAATACGGATATAAATGTTAGTATGGGTGTTGAAGATTCGAAGAAAGAAGCTAAAGGTAATCTCGATTCTGTTGTCTTAAAAACTTTTGTTTCCCTACCTCCACAAATAATACCAATTACTTCAACCACAGACTCACCCACATTTGAAAATATTATCAATCACCCATTTACTTCTGTTTTTTCTTCTCAATCCACTAATCCACGCAAAACCATTTCATCTGTTCAAGAATCCATCACTATGGAGACTGATAATGATAACGAAGGTTTTGGACGAACCTTTGAAGAATTAGAATTTGATGATGCCGACGAAGTTTTTCCGGATCATATGTTGATGTCAATGAAGCAATTCAAAATTCTGAACAAGAAATTAAATTTTATTCTTCAATCTCAAGCAGATATCAGGGGAGGTAATCCTGTTTCTAGTTTGGAGGTTGATGTGTTGTTTAAAATCTTCGAAGCAAGAATCAGCTCTAAAGTTTCTGGTATGGTTAGAGATTTTGAGTCTCAAATTTTGGAGAAGGTGGATCATTCCGATCAAAACAATGAGTTGCGGATTAATTCTCAAAATTCAAAGTTTGTGGGGGGAGTTGAAGGAATTGAAAAATGTGGCAAAGGAACAATATGTTTTGTTCGTTCAAGATGTCAAGAAGGTTCGTGAAGACGTAAATTTGCAGATTCAAGAGCTTCGTCAAGAAAAGCAAAAAGAGATTGCTAGTGTTCAACAGGACTATGCCTCTCTAAATCAGAAGATTGACATAATTTGTGATGCTGTTACCAAATTTGTCAAGTTGTATGAAAACATGAGTCCTCAACTTACTCAACTTTCTACAACAGAAAGTAAAAATTTTCTAGAGGTGATTAATTTTCTAAAGGAGCTCAAAGAGTTGTCAATCAAGCCTGTCTCATCTTCTCTGATAACTCCTGAATTTTTGTCACAATAATGCACCCAATTCGAAGCTATTCTCCAGAAGAAAATGGCCCCTCTTTCTAGGATTTCGAGCCTTCTACCAACAATGGATTACCCACCTGTTTTCACAGGGGTTCAAGGGGGAGAAAGGAAAGTTGAAGATACAAAGGCTGGTGGTGAAGATGCGAAGGTTATGGGAAAGGTGTTTTCTTTGAATATTCCTACAACAAAGCCAATCGTTGCATCTGCTGGGCAATTTGCTTCAACAGTGGTAACAACTATGCCAATTACAAGACCAATTTCGAAAGGAATTATGATTGGTAAATCTGGTTATACTAGTGGGAGTGATTCAAAAACAAAAGAGGTTATAGATGATTTAGCTTCAAAAGCTAGAGGAAAAATTATCTTGATTGAAAAATCAAAAGAGGAAAAGAAAGATGAAGTTGAAGCAGAACTTGAAAGGATGAGGTTAATTCAAAGTATTATGACACAATGTGCTAGTAATCCTACTGGATTAAACAAAGGTGATCCAGCAACGCATTACAACTATTAAACTATTGAAGCTAAGGTTGCATTCAACCACATGTATTCGTTCGAAAAGAAACCGAAGCAGATTTACATTGTAACGAATACAGATGCAAGCCAATTGGATTTTCCAGTGAATGAGATGATGTTTATCGTGCCTCGGTTAAAAGCAGAAGAAAAATTCAAAGTGAAGGATGAAAGAACTCACATGAAGATTCGATTTCATGCCGTACTTGACAAATATGTTGAGGAAATATGGTCACTGGTGAAGATTAAGAAGGTCATCAGTATAAAGAAGGATGTGGTTTTTGAGAACACTGTCCAAAATATCAAGTATGTTGTGGCCAGAGAAAATGGAAATATTTGTGATTTCACTATTGTAGATTTTCCATTAATAAACTTGTATGACCTCAGACAAGTTGCATTGATTTTGAAAGATAAATATTTTTCGTATCTTCAAAATAATGAACTTACTGAATTCAAACTTGGGGTTGCTCACATCAAGATTTTCATTGAGAATTATTACGAATGCCTGAAACTAACTGATGTGGAGTTAGCTTTAGCTAAAGGTTTGTAAATAAATGCTCCAATGGCTCCTACGAAGACCCAAGTTGATTTAAAGAAGTATGCAGATGGGGAGATTTGTCTAAAGCCTTTTGGGATGGTCTTCGCAGGAAAAGACAAAGCTGGAAAAACGAAACGATTTAAGTGTATGTACTCCATAGTATGCTAGTTAGGGTGATACCTTGGAAAATTGAATGTTTGCATGTATCATAGAGAGAACATAGATCCAAGGTATCTAGGGTTGCATGTACACCATGGGAGTGTTAGAATGCTTAAAACCCTTCGGTGGTATCAGAGCCTAGGCTTGTTTTCAATTATACTTAATGCTACTTGTGTTCAAAGCTTAAAAAATCGTTTTTCTGCTTTTTGGACAGTGGACTCGCCGAGTCACCTTTAAAAACCAACCAACTCACCGAGTCAGTTCACACACTCGAGGAGTTGGTGCTCCATAATGCAGATTTTCATGTTTTAAAGCTGGAATTGGAATAGGATCATTACCCTAATCTGATTTTGAACTTATAAAACCTGTTTTTGGTGTGTTAATGATCATCCTTATCCAATTCAAAAGATAATTGTCAAAATTTCATGTTTTGTATTAGTTTATATGGTTAGGCTAATTACATGAAATTTGTTTGATATGAATTGTCTTGCTAATATGAGTTTAATCTAGATCATGGACATTACTTGACATGCTTGTTAGTTTAGTTGATGATCTTAATGGCCTTTAAAGTGCTCCATAATTTGTCCTCAAGTTATGGAAATTGAAAAGTCACTTCTTTAAAATGCATTAAAACTCATAGGCCATAGACTTGCAAAGTTTTTATAAGTTTCAAAATGTGCCCTCAAGTTTTGGTATTTGTAAAGTCACTTTAGAATACTTTAATTCCAAAACCTAGAATTTTAATAGTTTAAAATTCAACACTTATACTTTATTATATTATAAGTTAATTATATATATATATATATATATATATATATATATATATATATATATATATATATATATATATATATGGTTAGGTTATTTTGTTTCTAGTAACTGTAGTGTGCCAGAATGTACAGATCTAGATCATCGGATGGAATATAATCAAAAGTCATGATCTGAGGGTCTATCATAGTAGAATAGGATAACATGTACCATATAATCACACAAATTTCAGCATAAGGGCATTTTAGTCAATTAACCTATATTAAAAAAGGAAACTTTTTGGATTTTTAGGGATAATTAATTCCTTTATTTTTAAAAATCTGAATATTTTAAATTAATTCAACATTAAAAATCCGTTTTATTCTATCAGAACGATAGAATGTTAACCATAAACTAGTAAATGTATTTTTCGATTTTATTCTGTCAAAATGACAGAATGCCAACCATAAACTAGTAATATATTCTGAAAAGAATACACAAAATCAATTATTGAACTAATAATATACCAAATAATTACATTGTATGATTATATTCATTGAATAATAACAACATTTTGAAAGAAAACGAAAAAAACCTCAAATAACAAAAACACTAATCTATTCTAATAAAATATTATTTTTAAGCAACACTTTATACATTGTAGCATAATACATTCTAGAATAATACACTCTCATCCTCTATGTTTTCTTCCTTCTCTGCATCAATGTTAGCCTCTTCAAAACCTAAATCCACAACGAAAACATAATCAAGTTTCAAAAATTAAAAAATTCAATGCATTCTAAGAGAATAAAAACTATACATTCTGACATAATGTATTAAAGACATAAAAGTTTGATAGAATATAGTAGAAAACAAAAACTATAAATTCTGACAGAATGTAGTAGAGACTATAAAGTCAACCATAAAGTATCACAAATTCATTACCAGTTACAAAAATATACTTGTTGTTGACAATTATTCTCAAACATTCTAACATAATACATTTATATAAATAAATTTTAATAGAATACATTACATAATTCAAGATTTGTGATTGAATACAGAATTCAAGAGTTGTGATTGAATACATAATTCAAGAGTTGTGATTGAATCATCAACACACATCTGCATTCATTCACAGTCATGAATTCAAGAAACAAATAAACATTTACAATATTGATTTAGAAATATGAACACCAATTTTGACTTTTTAGAAACAAACTCCAACTTATGACTGTGAAATGCAAGTTGTATCGGAATATTTCTTCAATTGAACATAAATAAAACAATGAAGAAATCGAATTTAATAAGATGATGAACACAATCTCGATCATTAATCAAAATCGAGATAAAGTCAATCTCGATTGAGGTAAATAATTTCCAGTTATATCCCTTAGTTGTTGGATTACCGGACCATAGAAAGAAGAACAGGAGGCTATCGGAGAATACCTCCGTCCACGTACCTGCAATCGGAGGGATTAATTGTCGGGATTTCCTCACCTTTCGCTCCTCGCTTCTCATTCGTGTTCACGGACCCCATAGCAACGCCACTGCTCCTCCGCATCCCCTTCTTCAACCTCATCGGCCCTAGAATCCATCATTGATTGCAAGACGAGAGTATGTGCTCCATTTTGGATCCGTTGATTGTAGAAGAAGAAGCAGAATTGGTGATCGTGATTGTGTTGATGTCGATGATGAACGTGTTCGGCCACAAACATAACTTGGTCAAATATATTTAATTTATTTCCTTATTTGAATGATTTCAATTAAATGATTTCCTTAATTAAAAGTACAAAAGGTCCAAAATACCCTTTAATGATTTATTTAATTATTTATTATTTCTTGAATTCTCATTGGTGCATTTAGACAAACAATAGTTGCTAGAAACATTTGAACCTAGCTTTCTCTCTCTCTCTCTCTCTCTCTCTATATATATATATATATATATATATATATATATATATATATATATATATATATATATATATATATATATATATATATATATATATATATACCACTGAAAATGTTGACTAATCATGGAGCTCGGATGATTGGACGATTTGCATTCTCTTCCTTGAGGCATATGACATTTCCTTTCACTTATAATTTCAAAAATGGTCCCTTTTACTTAACATTACTTTCAAAAACAAGTTTTTTTTCTAAAAATCTGCAGT